AGAGTTTTTTTTGTTCTGTAAACTTCCTTACCACAAAGATAAAAGCCCAAGTTTCAAATTAGTAGAAAAAGTTCTAAATAGATAAGAAAAACGTAATAGATATGTAGATGGTGATAGCTAGATGATAGATGATAGATAGATGGTAGACAGACAGTAGATAGAGGATAATGATAGGTAGATACGTAGGTGGATGATAGCTGTATTTTTATAGAGTATAGGTAGTATATAGATAGGTACTATATACTATTTATATTTGATACATATACTTACACCTGGTAAGTGTTATTAACCTATTTTATGGAAATTTGAATTAGACTACAATGTAATGCAAAAGATTCATAAAGTAGAATATTACTGCCCTTCTATTGAGAATATAATATGAAACATTTCTAGAAAATCATTTTGACACTAAAGAAAAAGTACCTACTGGAAATGATCTTACCATATGATCAAAATACCAGAATACAATACAAATTGTTTTTTTCATAAAATCTTAAAATTACAGTCACACAAATACTTATTCAAAAGTATTATAGGAGCAATAGTTATAATACTCCAGTGATAGTTGGGGTTAATTGTCAACCTGACAAAGTCTAGAATCTTCTAGGAGAAAAGGCTCCAGCCCACCTGTGAAAGGTATTTGCATTAAGCCTCTGAAAAGGACTCCAGGAGATTTTCTTGATTGTTTTCACTGAGATGAGGAGACTGACTCCCAGTGAGCAACACCAGCGTCTAGCTGAGATCCTTTACTGTGTAAATGGAGAAAGAGTGCTTATGGATGCTCAGCAGCAGCCATCAGCTTTTCCTTATCTTGACTGTGGATTCAATGTGATGTGATTTTCCCACTGTGATAGACTTTAACAATGAACTGAGAGCCAGAATGAAGTTTCTTCTTTTACTTTGTTTTCTCCAAGTTTTTTTTATCAAAACAACTAAGACAACCACAAACTTGAAACAAAACACATATCCTTCCCTGTGAACAGTTAAAAGTAGTACTCCATTCCTTAAAGAAATCTTACTAGCAATAGAAATTATTATATATCCAAGAGTTGAGTTGAATCTTTGGAGAGCTAGAGAAAATATTTTGATTTGAAACATCAAACTGTATATTGTTTTATATTTATATAACATTTATATGACCAAATTATAGGGACGATATTAACAATTCTAAAAGAAAATGAATTAATAAATTTGACTAAAAGATATATGAAATGTAGCGATAATGTAGCAATAATATACATAATTAGAGAGAGGAGCATATTTCTATATTGACTTTATGAAGTGTATTTCCCCATTTCTAGTATTTTGTCACAAGAAAATTATTTAAAACCAGTTAAATAGGATGTTGGATCTCTCCATATTATATATACACATATATGCAATTATTTCACAATAAAAAGTTTAACTAAAATAGTGTGTTACAAACCCAATAACACAACTGTAGATCTCAAATGTCTATATCTGTAAATGCAAAACCTCAGGAGGTTTATGTATCAAAGGAAGTCATAGCTATTTAGTTAATCAAAAATATGGCAGCTTATAGGGGACAGATTATACACGCAGAAAAATAGCAAGGTAAATTATTTTAACTTAATTTTTTTCATAATAATTAGAAGGCTGAAATCAGCAGATTGAATTTTATAAATAGGTCCCAATTATGTGTTGCATACAACTTATACACTTCAAACCAAAAAAAAAAAAAGTAAAAAAATAGAGAATACATACATACATAAAATATTTCTTTGAAACTTGACCATCAATAAATAAACCTACACAGGTATAGAGAATTGATTTTTCAAATATGCCAAGGAACTTTAATAGAGAATTATTATATCTCCATATATGAGCCTGTATTAGTTAAAGCATTATATAGATTAATTATTGAATTGATCAGATGTTTTGTTAAACATTTATTGGCTGTGTCTGTGAGAGTGTTTTTAGATGATTTTAGTATTTGAACTAATAGACTGAGAGAAGTTTTTTCTCTTTACAATGGAGGGGCAATATGTGTTCTTTCAAAGACATGAATAGAAAAGAAAATGGAGGAAAGAAAGGTTCTGTATTTAACTGCTTTACTAGAGCACAGGTCTTCTGCTGCCATTGGGAAGAGAATCAAACCACCTTGCTGCTTATTCCCTGGACACAGATGTGAACAAATGAGCTCTGACTTTGTTCTTCTTGGCTCCCAAGTTTTTGAACCCACATAGAATACACCGTAGACAGGTGCATTGTTTTATTGGGCTTTAACTCTGTGTGTGTGTATTAAATAATTAATAATTTGTATATAGATATGCAAGATATTGTATAAATACTAAATTATTAAATAAACAAACTTAAATAAAAGGAAAAACTACTTTGGATAACAATTTGACAGTTTCTACATGGATAGCCAGATTATTCAGTCATTTTATATCTAAGTATTTATCCAGGAAACACAAAATTTTTGAGTGTAACATGGATATAGATGTTCATAATAGTGTGAGTTTTAATAGTCAGAAATGGAAAACTTCCTTAATGTCTGTCATTAGGTGAATTTTTTAATCAGAAAAATATAATGTACACATATGGTGAAGTACATTTAGGGCTGGAAATGACTGAACTATTAGTAAAGCATCATGAACTATTCTGAATAATTTCATAGTGTAAAGTAAATGTAATAAAAATAGACATACTATACAACTCCATTTACAGAAAAGTTTTTGAACTACAAATATCCATCATAACAGAAGCAACCTGGGGGAGATGAGCAGGCATGAGTGATTCCATAGGTGAAATGAAATCGTACGATAATAAGTCGTAAACTTTAGATTAATAAACCTGTGCTGACCATCTTTTTCTTTGTTAGGATACCCTAGAAAGTCCCATTAAAGGAGAAAATTTATTTTTATCTCGCACTATCTGAAATCTTAATCTATCAACCACTGGATGTAAAATCACAGGGAGAGGAGCATGTGCTAGAATAAAGCTGTTCACTCTTTGTAGCCAAGAAGCAGAAAGAGGGAGCAGAGGAAAGTTATAAACTTTCCTTCGCCCTCCCTGGGGAGTGGATGTGGGGTGGGATGGGGGGGGTCTGGTGAGGGGAATGTGAGGATGGGAGGGAGAAGGAACTGGGATAGATATGGAAAATAAGATTGGTCCTAAAATAAATAAATAAAATAAATAAATAAATAAATAGATAGATAAATAGTTATACCTTTCAATGGTATCCTCCCAGTGAACAACTTTTTATCAACTAAGCCCCCCTTTTCTAATGCCTAGCCCATTAATATTAAGAGCTTGTTGGAGTTCCTAGGAGGGGACCACAGCTATGCACATACCTTTGACCAAAGACCAGACCTCTTCTATTTGTGAAACATCACCTTCTTCCACAAAGTGCAGTTTCAGGTGGCAATAACCCATTTAATCTTGTTTTTGAGAAGAATTTAGTTCACAGATTCTCCCCAAAAATGATAAAAATCAATAAATCAGGTACTTGTAGAAAATACTCTACTGAATAAATGTTCAATTTAAATGAGAACACAAATGGTGAACTTTAAGTAAGAAACTTAAAACAAGGCTTCAAAAATATTTGGATGTATTTCTCCAATCAAAATGTAAACAATAATAAAAAATGTTACTATATGGCCTGGGAATAAAACTCTCAGGTACTATGTGGGACAGTCAAAGCAAGTTTAAGACCAGCCTAGGAAACTTTAATGAAATCCTTTGTCACAGGCTGGTAGAGTGCTTGCTTAGTATGTGCAAGATAAGATGGTCAATTTCTATTAAGCCTGACTAAGCATTGGGCAAGAGGGGGGGAGTTAGCAGATGAGAACCAGGATAAGGAAAATTGTGCTATATAGAAACCATTGTTAATACTTTAATAGGTACATCTCATGAATAATTATGTCTGTTTGCTGAATATTCATTGTACATGGTTCTACACATGGCCTAACTTGATTAACACCTGAGTTACACAATAGAAGATCCCTGTAAAAATTATTTTATTTCTATTCTCAATTTTTTTGTTTTGTTTTTCAAGACAGGTTTTCTCTGTATAGTTTTGGATCCTGTCCTGGCACTTGATCTCTAGGCCAGGCTAGCCTCGAACTCACGGAGATCCACCTGTCTCTGTCTCCCAAGTGCTGGGATTAAAGACATGTACCAACATCACCCAGCTTCTACTCATAATTTTAAAATTTTAACTTATTTACTTGTGTGTTATATATTCATATGTGTACATACCAAGACTCCTGTGGTAATCAGAAAATAGCTTGTGTAGTTCAGATCTCTTGGATGAAATATAGGTCATCAGACTTGGCAAGCTCTCTTCCCCACTGATACATTTGCTTGTGCAAGTTCTATACTTTCTCGATCTTCCTGTATTCTCTCATCTTACTCACTTCCACTTTTTTAAAGATAATTTTGTTAATGATATAATTCTTCTACTTCTTTCTTAAACCCTCATATGGAGTTTAAAGGAGAGTTTTTCTCAGTGTATTAGTGAAACAAAATTTTGAGAAAAGGCATCATTTGCTCTTTACTTTGGATAGTTTGTGTCAACCCCTATGTTCTCCCTTTGTGTTCAGGTAAATTAAAGGATTTTGTTTATTTAGGCTTATGGAAAGGTTACTTTGCTGTACAAACATAGCAGCTGTGCAATATGGAATAAGTTGAAGGAAGAATGGTGGATGGCAAATGGGTAGACACCCAAAGTGATTTGACACTTAACTCTTTAACTAACTCCTTTAAGACTATTCAACATTGTATTCATTTTTATGCATATATATATATGCGTGTGTGTGTTACAGTAATAATCAAAAACATTCCATCCATTTGAGAGGGTAAAAGTAAGAGCGTGGGAAGGTCTTGAGGGAAGACAGGGAAAAGGGAATATAATGTAATTACATTTTAATTTAACATGCTTTTGAATAAGAATGTTATTCAGCATTTTTACAAAAGATGTTAAGTTTTAACGTATCCTTTGTCTTATTTCCTGTTGATTTTGGTGTGTCTTGCAGCTGCTGAGGGGATGGTATGCAATCACCTGTGTTCAAGTGATGGCTGTTGGGGACCTGGACCAGACCAATGTCTATCATGTCAGCGCTTCAGCAGGGGAAAAATCTGCATAGAGTCTTGTAACCTCTATGATGGGTAAGAGGGCACCTTAAACTCATGAGCTGCTGATTAAAACAAAAATTTGAGCTTTAGAAAAATGCTAATAATTTAAAAGGAGCCTATCAAGATTTTTCAAGAGCACCTGTGATGCAAGAGAAGAGATATGAAGTTGTTTTAAGGAAAGGTAATGTTTTGCTTGAAATAATGTCTGGTATTGGCCAGCTTGCACATTTTAAAGATGGTTACCAAAATAGATAAATATGAATGAATTTTTACCAACTCATATGTTAGCAAAATTGTTTAATTTTCAACCTGAATTATGAGGTGGATTGCTACAAATGTCTTCCCCCCAAATCAGTAATTCTCAACCTTCCTAAAGTTGCAACCCTTTAATACAGCCCCTCATGTTGTAGTATGTAACATGCAAACCCATCCATAAAACCGCTATCATTGCTACTTCGTAACTGTAACTTTGTTAGTAATGAATCATAATGCAAATATTTTTGGCGATAAAAGTTTGTCAAAGGAGTCAGAGCCACAGGTTGATGACCCTGCCCTACATCTTATAATCTGCTGCAGTGTTTCCTCTTGTACCTTCCTTCCACTTTTCCCCCAGAGTGGCTGCACAGCTGATTTTTCTGCACTCAGGTTGTGGGCCTTGTTTCCACCATGTCTCTGTGTCTTTGACAACTGGTGAGGAGCATCGAAAAGCCACATCTATGATTTAAGTTGGAGAGGGTTTGAAATACACTCTGCCCCAACCTAAAAGGCAGTGTTTTAGCCAGTGCTTTGCACTCCCTGTAGTACTGAAGCCATCGCATTGCCTGCAAGAAAACCTAGTTTCCACCCTCTGCTGTGGCATTTCATCCCCCATAAAAATCACTTTGTCACAGCACAATTTTATGCATCATAGTTGCCCTTCATTAGTGTGATAATATATTTCTCAGAGCTGTTCCTAAGCCAGTTTTTCTCATACAGCTCAATGAAAGTACTTTTGGCAATTTTGGAAACTGTAGTTTTGAAGATCTTGGTTTAACTTCTTTAGTTCCTGATGAACTCTCCCATTTTGACAACTAATTTCATGATAACTGATAGCACTAGTTTTGCACTTCATGTTTGTGATATAAAAATGTGCTCATCAGTTTAATAACAGTGTATGTATTTCTTCTTGAAAATGTCTCAGGAAAATTTTGCAAATAAAATTAAGTAACAAAGATGGAAATTTAGGTTTAAATAAGAAGAAACTTACAATAAGAATTTAGTAATTGGAAATATTTTGGCATAGAACTCAATAAGATATAATTAACTTGTAAATTTGATATTAAAGGATCCTGCCCATGGGATTATATTCAGGCTTTGTCATATTACTATAAAAGGATATCACTCCAAATAAAGTACCTCAAGGAAAAATATACATCTATCTAGCAATGGTGTCATTGAAGTGAATTTTCCTAGGATATAGTTCACTAAGGACAAGTTACAGGCATGTATTTCTTAGGAAACAGGGTATGTAGACATAATTTTCTCTATGAGCAACTTATTATGAACAATGAGGACTGGTATAATAGAGTATTAGTTAAAATCTTACATTGACTGAATAATTAAGGCAGCACTAGAGTACAGTTACTCTGTTTTTCATCCCTTCCATAATGCCGTTTTTGTTAGCTATTCAGTTTTAATATTGTCTGAAATATAAAATGTAGAAATATGTAGCTATCTGTTCCATTCTGGATCACATTTCAACAAACTAGTGAATGCAAAACAAAAACAAATAAACAGCAACAAAAAACTAGTGGCTTATTGAATCTCAATCACTAGGCATCTTTTGTATACTTAACAATCTCTAGTTTTACAGCATTAAATAAAATATGTCAAATTTAAATTTTAAAGTATTTTTCATTATAGTAAAACTCATGAAATATAGTTTTTTATAAAAACCATAGTAAAGTTTCTTATTAGTTCTTGTCTGCTCTGTGAGGCTTTCTCCCACATTCTCCCATTTGCAGTGTTGTCTGATATCTTTTGTTTTGTCTAGGTAGGTAAGTCATGTCTGCCTTTAAAGAAAATGAACCGGCATTTTAATTTTATATTAAATTGTTCCTTTTTGCTTTCCTGCTTCTGCCCCTCCCAACAGCTGTACCCACCTTATTTTCCCTCCTTCCCTCCCTTCTTTTGTCCTTCCTTCCTCCTCTCCAAATTTTCCTCCGTTTTTTCCTTCTGTGAGGACTTGTTATGCTGCCCAAGCTTGTTTAAATTCCTAGGCCCCATTGATCTTGCCTCAAAATACCCTAGGAGATAAATCTAGGAGATATATACCATCTCACTGATGTGTGTGTGTGTGTGTGCGTGTGTGTCTGTATGAAAAATGGGAATAGTATGGTGACCATTTTATAAATTATATGAACTGAAAGGTATTTAATAAGGTCTTATTAAAGTTATTGCTGTGGATATCATCATGCTTTCCCTTTTATCAGTTAATCTGAGTTTATTAAATGGTTCAGTGAAATATTTAAGCTTAAAAACTGATTAAACCTGTCAAACAATCAAAATGGAAGAGACATAATGGAACCTTGGCACCCTAAACTTTTCTATCTGGCATGTATTTTGAATCCTTGAGATCAACACAAAAACATCAGAGTGCCAGTCAAAGGCCTTTGATGTCAATTACATATTTAGAAAGTTATACCTGAATAAAACAGCTTTCTCCTTTTGTAGAGGATACTTAGTAAACTAAATGTCAAATGTTTAATTCTCAAATAGTAGTGTTGACTGAGATTTCAGTTTTGGAGATTCAGTTTTATAGCATTCACTCCTGATCCTAAGACTGACTATATTATCGTGTTAGTATCATGGACTGTAATTTGTTAGGCCACATCCAAGTGATAGGAACTGTGCAAAACCACAGTTCAGTCACTAGGGGATGTGGAAGAAGTGTAATTATGGTTACAGCAACAGTCAAAGCTCAGTGACAAGACTTCAAGGATGATCTCTGAGGAAAGAGGATAAAGTCAGGAGCTCTGTAAAGGAAATTAGGAGGGAAAGGTAATGGTCTCTCCATTGTTCTTGTGGCATTGTTTACTCTTTAACTGTGTGTGGGGAGAGGTGCACATTAGTGCAGAGGAATGGGAATAAACACAGACTATGTTTTAGCAGCATACAAATTATATACTACATTTGTCACCATAACCCTTTAATGGCCAAAGACTGTATTATCCCAAACTGGTAATTATCTGAAACTCGAAAGCTTACTTAACTCTCATAAAACTTCATTATACATTATTTGTAAATTTTTGTGGACTTAAGTATCCTCCCTTTGGGTCATTTTCTCCTTTTTATTCTAAAGATCTCCTCACTTAAGTACTTTCTATCTCTTGTGTTAATGAAGCATAAAAAGAAGGCTTGGCTTATATCTAAGATTTTAAACAAGAAAATTCATAAACGGTTTTATCTAAAACAAATTAATATCTTACTGTACAAGTACTGAATTCTATATTTTTAAACCATACTTAACACCTTCCCTTTTGAAGGAAGCATAATGATATGAATGTATGAAAATGCCTAAGGAGCTCAATAAATTATGTCCTAATTTAAGAAATTAATAAAATAGAAATCAAGATTTAGAATTAATTTAACTAACAGAATATATAACTTACCCCTTGAACTTCCATTGCTCATTAAGACTTTATGTCTTCAAATAAGAAAAAGGAAGTGATGGCTTTAGGGGAGAAAATATTTTAGAACTTATCACCTAATTAATTTATAATTACACTTTTCATGTTGATATTGGTTTCAAAAGAAGGCTTAGAATACAAGGACAAAAATTATGAATAAATTAGATGCACTAATTTAGTTAATCATCAACTTTGTTAATGACTCCTAAGTGACACTAAATCTTACCCAATATTTCATTTTGTATTTTAGTGAAAACAATGTGGTTTTAACATAGTATAGATGATTGGTTCCAAGTTATCTAAGTAAAATATTTACATTAGACTTTGAATATAATAATTATGTATTTGGAATATATAATAAATAAATAGACCTAAAATGCAATGATACAAAAAGAGACAGCCATATTCATGGTAGACTACAATAATAAAGTTTTAGACTACAGATAATAAAATCACTATTTCTTATTTTATTCCATATAGAATTACTTTAAAAGAATTTAGACTAAAAGGAATGTTGTGATATTAGATCAGTAATCTAAGAAAATAAAATCTAAAATAAAAGAGATTTTTTCTCTAATTCTCTCAGGCAGATGTTTTAAAAGGAGATAAGATATCAAAGGATGTTTTGAAGTTTAACCAAAAGTAAGTTAAGTAGTCTTGAGATTTGAAGGACAAGCTTGGAACATTTATGTAGCTTAGCAACTAAAACACTACAGTGGTTTAGAAACTAAGGCTTCAACTAAGAGCAATATTTTATATAGAAACAAGCATATAGTCTTATTCAAAGAGGTAAAAGTGATTCTGCTGTGTCATCAAAATAGGCTGTTTTCTATTTTTGGAAAGTACTAGAATCTCTCTGACAGAAGAGAGCTTTTTCCAGAATGAAACAATTGTTGAACCCATTTGAGAGTAAGGAGAACCATCTGGCTGCTGTATATCTTTTCTTTTAATGTAAAGAGTCCTCCTTAATGCATAGGAAAATGCATCTGTAGCTCCTGGCACATTAGAGAAACAAACTCAAAAATTTACACTGCCAACAGGACTCTTAGCAGATGTTGCCTCATTTGTTAAGTTGGCTTGTTTGCTTACACCTCCTCATGCAGTTGATGTTTTCACAGGGAATTTCGAGAGTTTGAAAACGGCTCCATCTGTGTTGAGTGTGACTCTCAGTGTGAGAAGATGGAAGATGGACTACTCACATGTCATGGACCGGTAAGCCTGAAAATGCTAGTGGGTATGTTGGCTCATTTGGTATCATGTATATAAATGTTTTGTCATTGTTTTGGGTCTATATATCCCTTTAATTTGTATTTATAAGATACTGAGGGCAAACATGTTTAATATTTGAATCTAGAAACAATAAAGCTTAATAGGAGACATAAAATATTAGGAAATTCAATATCACATCAATATTTATTCCCATGATACTGTATTTGAACAAAAGAATAAGGATATTGAATTATCTAGGGAAAGGCATACTACTGAAATATATGCAGGTGATCCTCTTAATGTTAGTAATTGAATTAATGAAAATGAGTATCAAGGTTTAAAATAACACAGATGAATGAGAAAATAAGTTTAAAAATGTAATAATTCACATTGCTGTGGTGAGCATTTCAACACAGTTATTTAGTGTTTCTGATTGCAGAGTGGAGTATAAGAGAGAGAGGAACAACGCAAGTTCCCTAAACTAAGACCTAAATCAGTAAGGTCGATGCTGTGTGAGAGAGAAGGATCCAAGGAGTAATAGTCCAACATGAAAGCCTTAAGGACTGAGCAGTCTTATCCATAATTTAAAGTTCTATTAGGGAGAACATGGTTCTGAATTCAGAAAACATACCCTCCCTCTTGTTTTCCAGCACTTGGGTTTCTCTGAACGATGAGACCAGTTTGTATTTATCATTAAAAAGTGATGCATTCATCCTTCCTCAAACAAATATTCCGTTCTCCCATTACTGAGTCATCTCTTAGTAATTAGCTGGAGGATAAACATTAGGGTCCAAGCAATAATTAAATCTAGTTCATAAAAATGTATTTAAATTCTACAGAACATACATTTTTTCTGAGTGCACTTACTTAGCATTTAACTAACTTAGAAAAAAATATTGAGTTCCCCAACCTTCCATTGGACCACAGGGAGCCACTCTAAAACCTTCTCTATGTGATATAGAAAACTCAGTCTTTCCAAGGACTGTCACATGATCAATAAGCATATGAAAAGGCAGCCTTGGAGAAATAGAAATACAGTTACGTGGCACAAATAACTAGAGTGATAAGGACAAATTATTGTTTCTCAGACTCTAAGAAAGTATGTCCAAGTGTGTCTGTAGTTACTTTGTTTCTCCACTGTGAAGTGCCATGTAAACACAGTTGACCTTCTCCATGAGACATGCAGATTCCATGAAAAATACTCCATCACAAAGGAAAGAAAGTCTCCTTAGTCTGTGGGTGAAGCAAGTGGAGATCTCTACATGGGTTCCTTAAGACTTGGGTACTTAGGTGACTATTTTTCAGTAAGTCATTGAATGAAAATTTCTTTTGGAGTTTAAAAGCTTGAAAATGATTGATTAAAATAACCAATAATATGGGAGTATCAGATGTGTTCAGACCTTGTTTAGTTTGTCAGTTGTTGCAGGTGCTCCTGCTCTACTGCTCCCTGTGTATTTCCTGCTACTTTTGTGTGACTTAATATTTTCTTGTTACGTATTATTACCTGGATAACATGGTTAGTAATTACTCTCAGTGTGTATATATTTATAGTTTTTACTCATGTGTTTTTCAAAGAAATTGAGGCAATTTATTTTTAAAAGAGTTAAATATTTTTACAAAAATTAAATCAAGTCTGTGATGACACTCCCTGAACATGTTTGGATAAGACTCAAAGTCCAAATCCCAAGAAATTAATGCTCTTGATTTTCTTCAAAATTATTTGATATGAAAAGTAGATATAATAAACATCTTCCCATTGTGACAGCGCTTATGGGACCAGATAATTAAAGTCACTCTGCAACATGAAAATAGAGTCTTGATATGTCTAGAAAACAAAGAAGACAGTCAAGCAAAACACTAGAAAGTTCCAGGGCCTAGCAAGGTAAAGAATGAAAGGGGAGAGGGAGGCAGGACAGACAGAAACAGACAGACAGACAGAGAGAGAGAGAGAGAGAGAGAGAGAGAGAGAGAGAGAGAGAGAGAGAGAGAGAGAGAGAAAGAGAGAAAGTTTCATCATTGGTTTGTCAAAGTTTCCATAGTGGTCAAAACTGATAGCTACTAATGTTTATAAAATACTGTTAAATCTGAACAATACTATGACATTCCTCACTTAAAATATAAATATTTTTAAGCATAATGATTAGTCACTTCAAAAGGCAGTGAGATATAAAGCTTCCGCTCAGTTGTGAAAATTATGATTCCAAGTTTTTCATTCCTATCATTTCAGTTTTCTTCCAGACATCACCATCTTTAGCATCCTACAAGTAATAAACTTGCTAAGAACATGACATCTGTGTAGTAAATGGGATGGTGTTATCCTACTCCAATATGATGGAAATTCTTTATCTTCAGGAAAGCAGTCTTGACATACAGGAAGTCCTTTGTTTTGATATGCTGGTCTGCCTGTACTTGGTCTTGCTTGTTTAATTTACATATTATATATGTAGTTATAATTAATCCATTGTACCTACCTTCACTAACATGAATAGATTCAATGAAAGAGGAAGGGGAAGAATTGTGGAAAGAGAAATAAGTAAGGAGAACCAAACAGTTACAGGAGGCCAACATAGAGGCTGGAGAGGCAGCATAGAAGAAAGGGGACTGGATGTGGAGGACAAGCTTCCTAAATTTTTACAAAATGTAAAGTAACTATGAGGATGGTTCATCAAAATTATGCTTAGATACTAATTCTATCCTTTGTTTGCTCACAGGATAAACATACTTAATTCATTTTACGTAGGGTACTCTGATAGTCTTAGAAATATTCAAGAGGAGAATCTCCCTGTTAAGATCCCAAAACTCTGAATTCATAGCATCTCCACTTCTATGTATAATATTTGATAGTGGCAGCATGGAGAGAGGAGGCTAGAGAATTCAGCACTTACCCTATATATGACGTCTACTTTCAAAGCAAGCTTTATCTTACCTGGACTGACAGGTGAATGGCACTCTTCCCACAGGGATGACAGAACATTATTGTAAAGAAGTAAATAGGAGTTTTGTTTTCTGGAGAAGCTACCTGGGAAAACAGCTGCCACTGAGAAAACATAACATAATGCACACATCAGGATTTGGTCTGTTACTTCGTTGCCTGACTAAATTATTGGGTCCAGAGGCAGTTTAGTACCCAGGAGAATGAAGGCTGCATCCTTCACCATTACCACTTCTTCACGCACTGCACCTATATTCTTAAAAGCCTTGGGAATAGCACAATAGGAGAGTGAGCAGTAGATGCTTGTCTTTTTATTATGAAATAGGAGTCAGAGTACTTCAAATCCTTAGAGACTTGTTAGAATGTCTTTTACCTATGTTAGCTGCAGGTACTTTGTTTTGTGTCTTGGTGAAACAAATAGGCACAAACTAGCTGACTGCATTAGAATATGCTAAACTATGAACTTACTTTAGTTCGTAACATTTTATATCTTAAGATTTTTGCCTGGACATTATTTTACTTTACAAGAATTCGAAAGAGAAATATGCTTAATTCAGACTATGCTTAATTTACTTATGGTAAGCTTTATTCTGTGTTCTGCAAGAAACATGTCTCTTGTCTTGTAGAATAAGACATGCCACTGAGCATACTTGCACAGTAAATGATTCCGTATAATAGGCAGTATTACGTGCCTAAGTACCCATGAACAGGTGTTAAAATTGGAAGCATGTGAAGTACTCTTATTTTGGAGGATATGAGAAGTTACCATTAGCAACTCTTTAGGTAGAATGGGGATTAGGTTTCATATGTTAATTTAAATTTTTTAGTTTTATTTTATTTTAGCTTTGAACTTCACATCAAAATAATGGAATAGATAGCTGTTGATCTAAGCTCACTGGTTTCTTAGTGACTACTTTTTCTTCTTTACATCAGTATTTTTATTAGATACTTTCTTTATCAATTGATTTATGTTACTTTATATTACTGACTTATATTATCTAGCTGGTTTGAGGTGTCATTTGTAAACACTTAAGATCACCCCCATGAGTAAACATATCTACATAGTGTCCCTTAATTAATAGTTCAATATAATGTGTGTCTAATCTGTCTCCAAATTGTGATATTTGCAAATATGAACTTGGTTTAATTGTGCCCCTGAATAATTACTATATCCTACTTACATAATCTATCTTCAGGCATGCTGTAATAATTGTTCAGGATTCCATACATAGGCAGATAACAAGAAGAATAGAGCAGGAGGCAAACAAGTCCCAAAAAACTGGTCAGATGATTATTATTGTCATAGAATCCAAAGCAAAGAGAGGGCCTATAAAGGAGGGATGATAGTATCAAGTAGAAAATAGCCAAAATAGCAGAACATGCAAAGACATGGGCCCATGGAAAGCAATGTATTCTAATTTCCATTATCCATTATCTCTCATTAACTATTTGTGAATTCATGAATTTTCAGTAATGGTGATGAAACATACCCATGGAAAATTTACTATTTACACATATTTTAACTTTAAATACCATTAAGAATGAAAAGCAAGATGAAATGTTGCTACCCTTTTGAAAAGGCCATTGGGAAATATTAGTTCAGATTAAGTCACTTTAGAGAAATGACACAGAGAATGGGTAAACTAAGAACTGCTGATTTCAAAGTGGGGGATGTTTCCAGAAGATATTTGATAGTATGATGGTAGAATGATGACTCACATACAGTGTGGCAAAGAAGAACTTTAAGGCTGTCTCCATGCTGTTTATATTTTAGTAGCCAAATCCATGTTAGTATCGATGGATATGCTCTCCCTACAGGAAGATTTATTTGTCATTCTCAAAATTCTAAGAGACTAAACCACATGATGCCTTTCAGAGGGAATTGAACTCATTTTTCTTTGTTTTTCTTTTTCATATTCAGGGACCTGACAATTGCACAAAGTGTTCTCATTTTAAGGATGGTCCAAACTGTGTGGAGAAATGTCCAGATGGCCTACAGGGAGCAAACAGTTTCATTTTCAAGTATGCGGATCAGGATCGGGAATGCCACCCATGCCATCCAAACTGCACCCAAGGGTAAGCATCCTTGTTGGTCAAGGGCTAAATCGTGGACATGATTCCAGTTGAAAGGAAGGATGACCTCATTTATCAGTATCTCTTATGATGTCTACTCACATTAAAATAGCCTTGGAAAATGCTATTCATCTTTAAATTTTACATGTTGATTTCAAATGAAATTCTTTCTAGGTGAGCCTCTGAAATATCTCCACTTATTATTTACCTATAACCACCTTATTAACTCCTTCATGAAGCTAGTATGCTTTTATTGCAATTTAGAAATCGTCCAATCTTTACAATTGATTTGATGTATTAGAAGAGACAATATAGTACTTGTGTCATAGAGATTTTTTGTATTAAATGTTCAGTATGGCTTCTATTTCTTTATTGTCAAACCTTAAAATGAGTAGATCTCTTTAATAATTACTGTCTTAGCTTGGTCCTTCAGTGAAATCTTATCTCAGGCAATCAAGACAGAGAAGAAAAAAGGATAACCTGCTCATATGTGTGCTCACAACAGAACTAATATAGGTGTGTGAGCCATTTTTTATGGTTTTTCTGTAACTTAGAGTTTCTTGACTATCTATCTGTAGATAGATAGATAGACAGAGAGATAAATAGATAGATAGATAGATAATTTTCATTCAAGAGGACATGCTGTGCAGCATAACCTATATAGATAACAAATTAGGGGGATTGTTGGAATATTTTTGGTCAGTGTTATGGCAATTGATGGAGGCATTAATGAACACTGTATACAAAAGGAAATAATGTCACCTCTAGCAAATTCTAATCTATTTCTTAAAACAAATTTATCTTATCTCAGTAACAATTTCCCCTTGTTTCCTCTAGAGGGTAAATATTGTTAGAGTCGAGATCAGTTTAACTCACTTCATTGTCTCATCATAAAATCCTCACCTCCACTGAGAGTGCTTACCCACAGTGCAGGCACAGAACCACATGTATACACACACTTGTTGAGAGTTATTTCGGGCCCTTTCAAATTGGCAGGAAAGCAGAGGTTCTCTAAAGAGATGGTCCAGCTGGATTAAGGCCTAGCTGTTAGAAGATACTGAAATAGTGAAGTGAGCAACATTATTTTCTGCCAAGAAAACATCAATTTTTGGATGCTGCTGTAGTTTCCTACAGGTCATGAAATCAGCTAAGTCACTCTGCGAAGTAGCAGATCCTCAGAAGGTAAAGCAATATTCTGCCACACAAATTCAAATGCCATGAAGAAGAGCTGCCGGCCAGCTCCTCAGCTTCCACATCAGCACACAGGTTGAGGGCACTTAGACAGTCACCTACACGCTTTGCTAAGGAAAACAGAAGTGATAAAGGGTTCCCCTTGTGAGTTTGGCTCACTTGAGTTGAGGCTATTTTATGGAAGAAAAAAAATAACTCATGCTGCTGTAGCAGAAGAGTCAGCAAGAGAAAAAAAGAAAACTTTGCCTGTGAAAATCATCCACAAGAGGGTTTTATTGTTTTGCAACTAAAATTAAACCAGTAAATTATTCAATATAATGTCGATGTCAACAGCTGTTGCCATTCAAAATGAGACCTTTTGCTGTTCTTGCAAATCTAATTACAATGAAGCCATTAGGGAAATGAAAGTGAGACTCAGAGCCTAGTGTGGATGTGTGGCTGGAGTGTCTTTCTCGTGAGCCTTGAAATCGTGATTGGATAAGAAAGGAAAGCATATATAGTAGAGGAAGGTAGAAGCTGAGTCCAACAGAAAGGTTCAAATTACCGTAGCAACAAAACTGGGATCTCATACAAAAGGGAAGCCAAGGTTTAATGGTGACCTCTAAATAAACAGATACACAAATAGCTTTTGGCTGCAGTATAGTGATGAGACAGAATATGCTGTATTTCATAGCATCTTCCAGGGTAATGTGTCTCCAATGATGACTTTGTCCTCAGGTCTTATTTTTGCATTTATTAAGCTTCGTCCTCCTCTTAAGCTCTGTATTCACTTTTACTGATTTCCTAAAAGTGGTGCTGATTCCAGCTCCTGAGTAGAATTTTATTAATGGTTACACTCTATGAACTTACACCACATACCCACTATGCTTTGACACCTTATATGGAGGAAATGAGGTGTCCAGGGCAATTCATTCCTGAGTGTGAGCATACAGAAAGAACTATGATCCAGTGAAAGATCACAGAACAGAGGGAATGCTGGGATCAGTGTCTTCTTTTGATTCCTCAGATCATTTATTGACTGATCATATGAGTAAGTGTGAGCTCTCACCAGGACAGTTCTACTTCAGAAAGCAGATTCCCTTCTTCATCCCAGTGTTAGTCAGGTCATTTAATAACCAAATTAATGGAAACATTCTTTCCAATTACATTTTTTAAGAAATAGGGCTTTTACTTTGAATACAGTTTAATGATTTTTCTGAAAATAAAATTATCTAATACCTTAAATGTATTTTTACTACTTCAAAAGTGCATTAAATAAATTGACTCTAAAAGTTCTTCAAGTACTTTTTAAAAAGTGAAACATTTAGTCCCGATTAGAAAACTCTCACCAGAATAAAAAGAAAGGAAGGAAGGAAAAAGGAAGGGAAAACCAAAGAAAAATACTGACTTTTCTTGCCTTGAATAGAGGCCATATTTTACCATTCATTCTTTAGCTTCCTCTGGGGGATTCATGCTAATCAAGTTGTTTTCTTTAGGGAAGAGTTTATTGCAGCTTTTATTTCCAGGTCACAGTCCATCATTGAGGGATGTAAGAACAGAAATTCAAGCTGGTCTTTAAAAAAAACAGAATGGAGGACCACTGCTTGCAGATCGGTCAAAATCTCTTTGCTTAATTAGATTTCCTGTACAGCCCAGGACTAACTGCCTAGGGTTGGTGTCACCTGTAATGAGATGATTCCTTTGCATCAATTAATAATCAAGATAATCCACTTTTGATATGCCCACAGGTCAATGTTTTCTAGGCAAATATACCATCAAGACTTCCTCTCAGATGATTCTAGTCTGTATCATGTTGACAATTAAAACTACCTAGGATACCTGCTTTTAATCATGAACCATGTTCAGATTAAGACAACCATTGGCCTATATGGACTCACATTTATGGTATTGAATTTATATACCAAACAAAGGTTTTCTTTGTTGTATATTGAAATGATGATTGAGAGTTTGAACAAATACATATTGTACACTGAACACATCTATCCTTATTCTTCTCTTTTTTTCTCACTCCTGCTCATCTTGTTAGTTCTCTCTTCCCCTACGTAGTTTCACTTCTCTAATGTCATGTATATGTATATGAATTTATATTACTGTTTAAGATTTAGGAACGATAAATGAAAGGAAACTACATTTGTTTTTCTGAGGTTAACTTAATTGGCTCATAAGTTGAACTTCATTTGCATAGATATCCTGCAAATTATATAACTTTGTTCCCTGTGATTGAAAAACCATCTCATTGTGTATATTTGCCACATTTTTCATTCATCCCTCTGAAGAAATAATCTACAGACAGACATAGCTTTTTCAAATGGCACAGTGGCTTTCAATTACCTACTAAGTTAAAACCCACCAAACTTGGCTCCTAATTCTTCCATTCTCTTTTCTCTCTCTCTGCCTGCCATCATGCTCTAGTTCTACTTAGAAATATTGTTCAGAGTATGTAATGCTATTGAGTTATGCATTTGCTCCTGTTTTGTACTCCCTAATAATCACTATCACTTCAGCCGTAGCTCTCAATATCTCAAACTACAGACTGTTGACTATTCCAGAATGGTGACCATGACCTTCTAAAGCGGGACATGATGGTATCCCTCCTGCATATTATACTTACAAAACAATGCCATACATATGTATTAATGTGTATTTTCATCTTCAAACTGTGAGCTCAATGAAAATAATTGAAAATGCATCTAATCCATCTCATTTCTTTCTGCAGCTCCTTGAAGGAGACAAGCACTTTAGTAGGCTCATCACATGCGTTTATTGAATGAAGATATTTCATTCTTCACACCCTCTCTTCAAACAGAATTTCAATATTGAATATATTTTTCTTTCAAGGGTCATTATAAAGATTATACACAAACTAGAGCTTTTCAGACTCTCTCTAGTGAAGTAAGAAGTAGACTGTTAATTTTATAAAATGGTGTTTTATAAAATATAAAAAAACTATTTATAGTGTTTTGAAGGGAATATCATAGGAATACAATAAAAAAACAGCTCTTTAGAACACAATAAAAGAATATCATGTAAGACTGTTCTAGGGTGTTTTAGTAGTTTATTTTCCAATTAAAATTTGTTTTGATTAGATCCAATAAATGGAAATAAGTCAACCATGTGTGTTTAGCTGCTTCTTATCTGTTTATTTCATGGAACTTTATCAAATTTTCCCATAATAAAATTTACTTTTGCTGCTCAAAGTTGATTCTCAAAACAAAAATGCTAGTAGTAGCATTGCAGCATGTATGGTAGAACAGAGAGACAGTGACTTAAGTTATCAGATAAGTTCTATTAGCTCACTAGCATCTGGAGTCAGTTATAGAAACTGCACATAGTTTGTGCACATCTCTAGGTCCCTGAAGCTCTTTTTTTAGTTTTTAAACCTCAGAGTTTTGAAAAACATGAGTACTTTCTATTGCCACCCAAATTAGGCACTTCTATAAATCATACCACCAGAAGCTGTTTATGTTTAATGAAAAATAAAAAACTCAACTAAAGTACTAGAAAATAGAAGAAACATTTCCATAATGGCTCAAAATGAAATTCTAAGAACTGCATATTAGAATTTTGTGTATTTAAATACATTCATCAATTTTTTTTCTTGGTAGATTCCTCAGCAACATCTGTGTGAGTTTACTCATTCACTGGAGAGTATTTATTTGCTTTTTTTGAGTTCAGTACTGTGACTTTTTTTTTTAAGTTTCTGTTTGCAGGTCATGTATTTGCTATTTAAAAGTGGTCATTAACATGTACTGTAGTGAGGCTCAAATCAGTTCATTTGATTTTTACATAAAGGTGTGCTTAATGACAAAAATGAAAGAGATTCATAACCAAGGACATAATCTGGGTATGTAAAATATACATGGGAATTCCACTAAAATGTATTAACTTATTTTCTGCCAAGATCCATCTTTAATGAACATCAAGAATAAGGCTATTATGTTACATTAAGTTGTTCATTGCCTTTTTATTGATTTTTTTATTTTACTTAAAACTAATGGTGTTTTAAGAGAAATGATGTACATGAAACAATTCACAGTCATAGGTAATTAATCTAACTGTGTATAGTGATGAAAGATGCAAATGGATTGAAGGTTTTAGATATTTATGAAAGTTATCCACATGAGGAGGTAAAATTTCCATTGCTGTCTCTGTGTTTCCTAGCATTATATTTGAGTGTTAATGTAAATTCACTTCTGTGTTTCCACATAGAAATAATTTTTCCCTCGGTCTCTAAAATTATGCTTTTCCCGGAAGCTACCAAATAATAAAATTAGGATTTTGGCACATTTAGTATTTATCTCACTTGTTTTTGTTTTATGACTGATTTCTCTTTCCTTGTATCTCTTTGATATGTGAATCTCTGCAGGTGCGTAGGCTCAAGTATTGAAGACTGCATCGGCCTGATGGATAGGTACTTGGTGTGCTTGCTTCCCATGTTCTTCCTCCAAGGCTCCATGCGTGAGCACTGGTGCATGTGTGTGCATGTCACTGTGGATGGAGAGTGACGTTTTCTGTTCTGTAATTGCTTGCAGGTGTAACGGTCCCACTAGTCATGACTGCATTTACTACCCATGGACGGGCCATTCCACTTTACCACAACATGCTAGGTAACATCAACCATGTTTCCATTTTATCACTCAAATTCTTTCCTAGTTACCACCACCAAAAGCACTAAGCAATTGGACTGAGATTTTAGTACATTAAGTGAGAGTTACAGAAGAATTTAATACACTTTGTTTTTAAATCAGTTCTTAATTATTTACCTTCATTCATTAAGATTTCAGAGTTTTAATTAGTCAAGCCATTGACTTAAAATTTTATACACTTAAAAATTAGTAGTTACATTAGGATTTCAATAGACTATTCTTGAGTTTGTACATAATTTCAAAACTAAAAAATTATGAAGGAGAAATTTTAAAATGTTGATTGATAATACTTACAGAATGTTTGTCATAAAATTTGGATTTAATTCCTGATTTTGTGTTATTTTGAACTGATTGGTATATTTTCAGATGGAAAAATTATCATAGCATCAATGCAATATGGAAAGTATCTTATGCATGCTAAAGCATTTGTTGGATATTTAAGAATGTAATATATTATTCTGTTTACATAAAATTCTGAACACTAATATGTACAGTAGTTGTAATCACAATCAACAAAATCTGTAAGCAACTTAGGCTACCCAGTTGAGTTACGCCCATGCGTTGCAATATGCCTGAGTAATAAAAAGGAAGAAATTGATGCTACACACACCATGGATGGATCCCAAATACACCATGCTGAATGAAAGAAGCCAGGTTGTTAAAAACACATACCAGTTGGTTTCCTTTTTATATCAAACTCTGAAAAAGGGGAAACAACAGGGACAGAAAATTAGTCAGAGTTACCAACAGCTGTAATTTCAGGGGTAAAGTTCACTAAAGGACAGTAAGAAGCAATGTTGCACATAGTCGATCAATCTATACCTTTATTGTGGTATTGGTTGCACAAAAAAGGCTTTACCACAAACCATGAGCTATTTATTTTTTATAAATTATATAAACCAGTGCCTTATTGTTTATATATAAAAATATGCCTTTAGAAATATGTGAAATATTTTATCTAGGAAAGTAGTACGTTGAAAATTTACATAGAAATATTAGCTTTCTGAAACAAACTAATTTGAACTTTATTTAAGAAAGATAGTAATATTAAGGTTAAAAACAAAGTGGGAATTTTAGATGAAGTATTGCTTTTAGGAAATTATTGTGTTGTCATATGACAATGAAGCCTTGATAAAGTATAACTATCGGATAAAAAATGATAATGATAATAGACTACGTGAGCTGTCTTTATCAGGTCTAGCCACTTTCCTAAATTCTAACACCTAAGACAGTTTGTCCAGTATTTCTGTCTTATCCTATCCAACATTAATATAGTCTTGTTTTATGCATCTGGCTACTTTCACTAAATATTACATGTATGAGATTCATCTATGACATTAATTCCATTCACAGCTTTTCCATTCATTTGTCTTGAAATTGTTTTTAAATTGTAAAGTGATTGAATAATTGATATGTCATCTTCATTGTTTGTTAATTAGTAAATATTGATGACAGGTTCTAGAGTAATTTAGGTGTTTATAGGAGAATGGTTTATATAACAGTGGCACATTGATACTTGGGCTTGAAAAACTAATTAATATAGTAGTATTGAGTATCTAATTTTGTCCTCCAAGATCTATCTTGGATTCATGCTATGTTCATGAAATAATATTTCTTCTTTAAGACATTGATTGGGTCACTGAGCTATAATTTTGAAGAATAATTTCATAAATATTTTAATGATTTTACTTATAACTCATTCCAATATTTTAGTGAGAAAGAATTCCACACGGTGAGTAAAGTATGTTGTCTTTGTAATCTGATTTCAGGTTTAAAATCATGATTTCATGTGCAAAATGACAGCATTATGTAGCTCCTGAACTGTTCTGAGGACTATGTTTTTACTTAGTAACAGTGCCTAGCTCATAGAAACCACCCTCATTTCTATATAGCATTATAATTCTTTTCCTGTATAAGTAGAGTTCGCTAACCTCAGGAATGTGACAGAGAGGTCTCTGAAAGACATCAGAAAGCATTGGTGTGTACTGATGCCTTCCTGATGGCTTTCTTGAGAGAAGGAGATTATTTCTATCACTTTGTCTTGAGAATCAGGGAGATGACATTTGATCATGGGGCAGAGATGTAGACTGACAGTTCACTTGTAGTTGTGGATGATTTTAACTGATGTTATAAAACTCAAAATCATGTGTCTAATTACAAATTTAATACTTTACTAATTTAAACAAAACAGTGAAATGTCAATCTTACAGCATTATCTGAATTTCCAATAGATAGTCAATTATTTCAGACTAATACAAATAATTATCAGTGTCATTAGTAGACACACAAGGTTAGAAATAGAAAACGAACAGAAAAATGTAGTTCATCATTTCTAAGAAACTCACCAGCAGGTAAAGAACAGAGTTTCTTGAATGTGAAAGCATGGGTTCAAATACAGGTTCTGTCATATTTCTTATCCATGAAATCGAATGATAATGTGACATTAGTTTGAGGATTATATGAGATAACACATAGACTATCCTGGACTAAATAGTCACTTACTGCAGTTTTGGCTGTGACTGAAATAGCAACATTATCTCAGAACAATTTTATTATGTGGTGCCCTATGTGTATCTTTTATATAAGTTGGATGTTAATCCAACAGGTTAGTGGATACAGAATTCACATGTTAAAATTTATCAGATTTTAATCATTTACTTTTTATAACAAACTATTTCTTAGGACCATGATCTCAATATGTGATTGTTAACTGGTATCTAATTATTTTTTACCTAAAACTTTAGATGTCTTTACCTAATGCCTGCTTTATTCTTAAGTTTAAAACAATGCAACTTTATTTTTCAATTGTGTTGACTTGTCAGAATTACATGACCCGCCACGGGCTTCTCATGTGATATTTTAGGATGTCCATACACATTTTATTTAATTCTTTTGAGTATTTTGTTTTATATTGGAGTAATCAGATTCTCCTTCAGGTCCTTCGTTTCTAGAATGGGATGAATATAAATTTGGACAGCAGGATACGTATCATTAAGATTTCAAGACTTTTCAATCTTTTAAATTCCATGATAGTTTTACAAACATCTGTCGTTACTGAGTACAGCAAATATTTCATAATGGGAAGACCAGAAATAGGACAACGGATAATGAATGTTTCAAGTTTCATAATCCACCTTTTACCTGGGAGATTATCCAAATAATTTTCTTTTAGCCACAGCAAATACATAGAACATGTGAACATGGTTACTTCAAAATATTTAGCCGTAGAATTCCTCACTGTCCCATTGTTTCTTTATTCTATTCCCTAAACCAGCAGAGAGGACTAGAGGTTTACATGAAAGCAGGTAAAATGTTTCTGATCTTGATCAACTTTCATTTTCAAAGCAGCGTTATTTTTCACCCCAAACCTGCAATTTGTGAATTGGTTTTCCATACTCCATTTAGCTTACAGGGCATTGCTGGAGTCTCTTCCAGGAAGATTATTGGGATAGGATAGAAAATAATTCAAGATTGTTATTGTATTGTAGAATATCCTACTAATAAGAAAAATAGAACCAGTAATCTTTCTGTCTTTCTGCCTTCCTTCCTTCCTTTCTTCCTTCCTTCCTTTCTCATTTTTAATTAATACCAGAGGATGACATTTACTTTGACCAACCTTTTCCCAGTACTCCCCCCTTCATTATTTTTGTGTCCCCCTAAGAGCACCAGGAAAAATTGTGTTTCTCAAGACTTTCTTTGTGTGTGTGACATCTGTCTTAGCTAACACACAGGCTACTTTCATATAGATTATTTTCTGATATACAAATATAACATTTTAATCTATTTTGATTTGTTGTCTAATATGTGAAAAATTGAAAAAGCCTACTCTCATATAACACAAGGGAATAAATTTATTAATCACAATAATAACTAACTATTGTTGAGTCATTTCTTCACATTATTTACAAAGCAAAAAATAAACTGACTAAAAATTTCATTTTACTTTGTTGGATAAAAATGTTAAGAGATATATAAAAATTCATCGTAGATCACCTCTTCCTGTATTCTTATCTGCCCCGGTTCTTTGTTCTATTTCATTTATTCTGTATACTTCACAATACATAGTACAATAACTGAACTTACTTTTTCTAAGTCTCTCATGTAGAACTTTTTGAAACATTTTCAATTTTCATGGCCATAGTCACACCTTTATTTTATGGTACAGTGATTTTTGCCGAGGAGGTCACACAACAGTTTATCCTTTGTCAAACTGACCTGTGTGTGATGGATATGAAAGAAATGGTGTGATACTCTGGGCACCACTTACATATGACACATAGCAATTCTTTGGTTCCTCCCAAGGAAGTGAGTGCAAAATTTATTACCAGATCATATGGTCCAAATCACCTATGAATGGTTATCTTTGATGAGTGGCAGTTATATTATGATGCCCAAGTACAATAAATAAAAGTGCATAGCTTTTTTATTATAAGTCTATCCACATTCCATCACATGCTGCTTGTTAAGTTTTCTTTTCCTATGTTCAAGTCCAAGAGATGAAGGGGAGTGTGCCAATTTCTTCCTTAGCAGTGATTTGTACCATGCTTCCTAGAACCTGTGAAATGTCAAAATTATCTGAGAATTAGCAAGGATACACAAAGTTTCACTGCTCACTTGTTAACTGTTGTTCATATAGCTAAAGAGGCTACTTTAAACAGAAGTATTTCATATTGATATCAAAATGTTCATATCACAGTGCCAAAGTCAGGCACTAGAAACATTACTGCATTCAAGATTAGCAAGCGTAAAACTGTGAAGAAATTAATCTATACTCATCACTGAAAGTCAACAAAGGTTCTTTAGACCACTGACTTTGGTACTAATGCAGCAATTGCTTAGAATGTCAATTGATAAAATGTTTATTATAATAGTAAGGATCAAAATATTATGTAGGAAACATTCAAAATGCTCAACTTTCACACTGCCAGGAGTATCTTTCTGTGGTAATGCAATGATCATGT